TGACTGTGCAACACAAACAATAGTCAAGCTAAAACTGTCAACATGTGATATCACATGCAAATGCACACACCAGCAGACAATAATGCAGATGTGCAACCTCAATACTGATGTGTGTATCTTTATATCAGCATAGAAGCTTTAGCGTGACTTAATTTAGAGATGGTAAAAAATAATAAAACAAGATTAAATGTACAATATTTTAATGCAAATATTTATATATATTCAATGCTAATTATATATATTTGGATAAAGCATCTGCTAAATGAAAAAATATAAATGTAAATATACATATTTTTATTCTGTAAAATACAAAGACATTTTCCTTCACCTTTGCTGCTTTGTGCTTTATAATACCAGTTCAATAAACAAGATTCAGCAATATTCAGAAGCATTAATATTCCATTTCAACTTCCAGTTTAGACACAATATATGATTGTGAGTCTCCAAGCAAAACACAGTAGAGATGTTTTTTTCTGAATGAATCGGTTTTGTTGAAATGATTGAGTGAACAGCTGCATGACTCACTCATTATTGGTTGGTTCCTAAATAAATCAGCATGTTTTAAGGGATCATTTGAATGAACGATTCAAATGACTCATAAAAACAAACACTGTTGTATTGGTGTAACAATGCAACTTGCAGCTGCTGATAAAAATTATGAAATACAAGGGCCAGAACTAACTGTTGTATATTTAGAATATATCTATTTATCAATTAATTATAATATTTGTTTGTACATTTATATATCTAGGCCCTTTTTGAAAGCAGATCCTATTATGGGAACAGGTAATTGTGACCCAAAATACCAGGTAATTAGTTAAAACACAGAAAAAGAGAAAGATCAAAATAAAGATCAAGGAGAAAAGGGTACAAAAGGAAACCTCATCTGCAGATAAGTTCAGCTGAAATGACACGATTTGCTTAGCCAGCTAAGTAAAAGACAATAAGCCCTTGAAAGCTGTCACTACCGGTATTATTCAAGGAGGTGTGATCTCTCAGCACGATGTACACACAGGGAAGTATGTGCTGATCTAATGAAAATCCTAACACTTCAGTTTATAGGTGCATCATAAAGTTAGAAGGTCTGGAGTGTGTTAGGGCCTCTGATGTGCCCTTGTTACAAGACCACCTTATCTGCTTAAATGGGGGGACATCTACCATCTATCAGTGATGAAATCAACACACAGGAAGGATACAGATAATTGAAATTCTATCCTCCCCCAAGGCCTGTGAACAAAACTGCTGAGAGATCTCTATCGTGTGCCTGTATCATCTGGGGTTCAAGCAAGGGCTGCCGGCCCAGACCAGAGGCTCATGAGAGCAGATACAGGGTGAGTACAGGAGACGCTGCTGACAGCATACAAATTAGTCCAAGGCAAAACACACACTAAGTGACCTCCTGGACTTAATCTAGGAAAGAAAATTAAATATGATTCATATAGAAACACTGAGGCTGTCATTCAACATTATTGAATTTTATAATGAACTGGCTGAGCATTGAAAGACGAGCAGTTTGCTGAAGAGGTGAGCCACGATAAGTCCTTTAGATGCACCAAACTTAGATGAAAAACTCATCCAAGCTAGGAAGGTAGCCTTTTAGAAGAGCAAAGATTTAAATCTAATTCTGGATTTGATTGCTTGCTGCTGTAAACACTGCATACTTGGATGCTTTAAGGTATTTTGTGAATAAACAAAAATTGAATACATTTTGTTATTAGCCAGTAGCTACCCTCAGTGATACCCAGGAGTAGAAACAGATGTAAAATTGACAGCAAATTTAATAATAATATACCCAACATATGTTTGTGATTTCTAAGTGAAGGAGAAAAATGTGGAATTCTGGTGAGACGGAATGCATTATATTAATACAATAGATTATGATGTCCATTGATATGGCTTTGGTTAGCCTTTAAGGACATTCAGAATGACCTTGTATAATGTTTTGGATAACATTATAATTAACATTTGTACATGAACCTGATAAAGGAAATATACTATGTCCCTGCTTTTACAGTCATACAGCAGAGACTGAAAGCTACTCCATACATATTAGAAATCATGCATGAAGGAGATTTGATTTTCTTCATGATAGAAAAACTGATCATTTAATGAGACATATGCTACAGCCATTACCTTCAATCCCCTGAGCTCCAGTGATATCACATTAGCTGAATAAGTACCCATAAAACTAGTAGTCAAGCTTTCTGCAAATAAAGTAGCACAACCCGAAGAGATTTAAAAAAAGACATTTAATGAATCTTAGTGATGATATCCCAAAATTAATTTGAGAATTCGATTATTGCAGTTTTTTTATTATTAAATGATCTTTTTCACCTAACACTCCAGAAAAACAGCAATTTAAGTGATTTTGATTATTTTAATGATTGTTTTCAACTTTAGTATGTTATTTTGTATAAAATGAGCATTAACGTGTACATATGTGGGGTCATTTTCCATCATCTATATGGGCCTATATGCAATGATTTTAAGTTCAGATTTATATTCAGTGAGTAAACAGAAAAATTTCATGCTGTCATATAGCAATAATTGAATCTTATTAAATTACTGTATTAATTATATTGGGAAAAGTTCATCTTAAAGGGGTCCTATTATGCTTTTTCACTTTTTCAACTTTAGTTAGTCTGTAATGTGCTGTTTGAGCATAAAAAAGATCTGCAAAGTTACAAAGCTCAAAGTCCACTTCAAAAGGAGATATGTTATTTAACAGAAATCACTTTTCAAAAACTACAACAAACGACTCGTTTGGACTACAACACATATTTTCCGGGATTTGTGATATCACAAATATCGACGAATAGGACTAGACCTGGTTGAGCTGCACTAGAGAAGGCAACGAGTGTTATCACTATGTCGGAGGCACGCTAGCTTTCCCAGAGTGGTTACAATTATCCGGGTTTAAATCGCGCTCAAATTGATTTGATTTTGACCCAATATTTACACTGAAGCTCGCAAGCGGCTATGGTAAGGGGCATGACATTTCCCGACCAGGCGCCGAGTACTGCCAATCACAACATACACTGGCCCAGCTAACCAATCACAGCACATTTCACGTTTCAGAAGGCGGCCCTTTATTTGATACAGGAACGATTCGAGCCGTTCATGCCAGACTGGGGAGAGAGGTGTTGTAATAATGTAAAATATGTGAAAAATAATGTGTTTTTCGAACAACCTAGTATGAGAGCCTGTTCTAGTATACCCCCCAAAACAAAATCAAGGCTTTGTAAAAGAGCATAATAGGACCCCTTTAAAACGACTATAGCACAACATGATGCATGAATCTATGTAGTAGAGTAGCCTTTTTATAAAGCCTCTTATAACTCAATCTTTTACCATTCACCATACCTCTCAATGAGGTTAGTGCCGTCTTAAATTCAGTCAACAAAAACAGAATTATAACCTTCCTTCGACCCTGCTCTTGATAGATGTCCTTCATGTCGATGATTCCCATGACTGATTCTGAGTCACTGAAATGATTGACTGCAATGACTCTTTTGAACTTAAAAGACCTCAACAGTGACTCAACTCTGAGATCTGTTGTAATGACCCAAATTCCACCATCCCTGACTCACTCATCTGAACCAGCACGCATTGTGAAGATCAGAACTTTGACTTCTTGTAATGACAAACAGCAGGTACTCCAATGCAATGTTATTGATCAAAGCTTTTACATGTATAATGGCCTGTTTGACCTCACGTGAGGCTGCCTAGCATTGAATAACAATACTGTGGGACAAACGCATTCTGACTAAGCCATATTGCATAACAGAATCTTGTACTACAGTATATGCTGCTATGTTGACAATGTCAGATGGCTTTTTTATTTAACACATCATACATGCTATATGTCCCAAAATGCATTTTCACTATACTTTTTTTCTCTTTTCTCATACTGTGAAAATAACACTAGTCAGGTCAAATCCATACTTGGTTTGATTTTCTAAAGCTTTTAGCTTTTTCCTATTTATTTTAAAGCATGTGATAGCAAATACAATTGTCAGAATAAGAATGGACACAAAAAAAAGAACAGATGTTTTTCCTTTTGTCACTTACTATAGCAGTAACTCTAGCTGTTAACTGTGGTTTCAGAGCATGTTGTAAATAGTCAGGGATCAGCTTGGATCAATAACTGAGGGAAATTGGATGGGACCTCTGAAAGATACCTCTCTGAACAAGGAAACATTTTATGGTAGGATGGCTATAACAGGTTTCCTTTGTTTCTTCCAGTCTTAAATTAATTGTATGCAAATAAAACTCTCAAGTTGCAATTCACTTAAGACTTGTTTATCAACAGGCTTTTGGGTAAAACAGCATAATAAAAGAACGCAACGAAACCAAAATATGGTGAACTACGATGAAGTCGTATTTACTTAATCGTGTTTGATTTTACTATGATAAAATAAGATGAAGTATTTCCATAATCAGGTGACATGACAAATACGTTGGTTGTGCTTTTTCGACCTTCTGAACAGTGCATCCCGCGTTCGCATCTGTTACACCAAAAGTCACCTTGGAAGATGAATGAGTGGCGCGAGAGATGGCGCAAATGGAACTGAATATCCTATGGCCGCAAGACTGCACACAACCACTGACTTCCAATGCGAACGAGTCACATGACCGTACTACGGCAATGACACCGCTTTATTTTGGTCCATCAGACTCTTGAAGAATATCTATAATTAGAGCTCGTCTCGTGCGGCCGATTTTAACCGAACGTGCACGAATTCCTTCGGGTTTGGGGTCTCGCAACAGGAGCTCTCGAGCTTAAAAGCAGCCTAAAATGAAGGCTGTGATTTTATAGGTGTCCCGTGCAGGATATGGTGATTTTAGAAATGCTCCCTCACTTTAAGAGTAATATCACCTGACATAGGCTACGCACGGGGATTCAGTTCAATGTTTGCTGGAAATTGCATGACATAAAAGGTGCATTATGATGCATAACGTTTTTCTCAAGGTGAGATCCGGACACCTCGCGCTCTTACCTTCAGCTGTCGCCTTGCCATGTCTGTCGGCTGCTTGGCGTTGAAGGGATAGGCGATGCATCGCATTACAAAGACATAGAGTTGCAGCTTCCTCTTTCGTTCCTCTTCTTCCCGCTGCAGTTTCTCCACGTCCTCCTTTTCCTGCTCGCTGGCGGCCGACGGGCTCGGGCTGGATGGTCGCGCACTGGAGCCTCGGCTGGCGGGCTGGAGCCTATCGGAGCTCTCGCTGGTCCTGCTGGGGGAGATGCGAGAGGAACCGGACTGAGGAGCCATCACCTCTCGGCTTTCCTCCTCCACTATCCCGTCCGATTCCTCTTCGCTGGAGGATGGATCCAACATTTTTGCTCTCGGACGGCGCTCGCCTAACCGTACAAGCGAATTAAACGCACGATGGGTTGTTTACGGCGTGGAAACCTATCAGTTTGTTGACGTAGCGTTCGGCATTCAGAGCTGTCGACTGGCGGTGAATTTTTAATCTCCAGAAACACTTCGGCTGCGGAAGCAGACACTGCAATCTCTTCACACGGCCAGAGCAAAGATGCTGCTGCTGCTGCATACGTGTTCCGTGCTGTACCTCCGTTCGCCAGTCATTGCGAGGGACTCGGGAGGAACGGGGATGGGAGGGGCGCGCGCAATGAAAAGAGTGAATGATGGTCACTTCCTGCTGAGTCTCGCGTGAGACGCAGGCGCTGTCCGCGGTGCTGGATGAGAGAGCGGGTCATTTCGGTCGCAAAAATGGTGAGGGTTTCTTTTGACCTCTGGACTTCACTCACAGGACAGGGACTTGCCATATTACATCACCATATTTCATTCATTAGATGTATGCTTTATTTTTAACTGTATTTTCACAAGTCATCACAATTGTGAACTATTTCTGTAATTAGTAGGCTATCCCCAGTTTTGGGGAGTAACTAGTTACATGTAAGTTAATTATGTAGGGTGAATTCAGGTAAAGTGGGCCACTTTTTGTAAAACGTGTCATTTAGATACCTAGATGGGGTTTTTTTGTTTTCTTTTTTACTTTTGTTAACTTTAAGTTCCAGCTATAATATTTCAATGTTTTTTTTCAAATACAGTTCACATAAAGTATTATTTGCAAGATATATATCAATAAACATTTTGAGGTCATGTACTTCAGACAAATTTATTTTCAGGTAAAGTGAGCCATCCCTTATTTATAATTTTTTTTTTTTTTGCATCTTAATTAAAAACACATGATATGTGACCCTGGACCACAAAACCAGTCATAAGTCGCACGGGTATATTTGTAGCAATAGCAATAGCAAAAATACATTGTATCAGTCAAAATGATCGATTTTTTTTTTATCCCAAAATCATTATGACTTTAAGTACAGATCATGTTCCATTAAGATATTTCGTAAATTTCCTGCTGTAAATATATCAAAACTTAATTTTTGATTGGTAATATGCGTTGCTAAAAACTTAATTTGGACAACTTTAAAGGCGATTTAGATTTTTTTTTTTGCACCCTCAGATTCCAGATTTTCAAATAGTTGTATCTCGGCCAAATATTGTCCTATACATCAATGGAAAGATTATTTATTCAGCTTTCAGATGAGATATAAATCTCAATTTCAAAAAAATTGACCCTCATGACTGATTTTGCGGTCCAGGGTCAAATATTAACACGTATTATCAGACAAACTTATTTAACAACATATTTACCAAATCCAAAAATAGATAACCCATAGGTTATGTGTAAATCCTCATCTCAATTCATGTGGGAAATTCCAAACAACTGAAAGAACATGTTGTGTTGTCATTACATTTGATTAAATCTGAATATCAGAATATTCAGAAATCAGAATATTGATCAAATGAACTCTACAATATGTAAAAAAAAATATGACTATAACACAAGCAACAACAAATAGTCAAAAAAATTAATAAGAACATTTTAAATGGGAACCATATGTAAAAATGTTTTTCTGTCTAATTTCTCTATACATTTTCAGTTAACCTTAATTGTGTCCATATTTTAAAGCTTTATATTCTGCATCTACATTTTGCTCCTCTCATCCTTTCTTCACTCCACAGATTGAACTTCATGCCTCGACTTCCTTTCTGTTCTCTCTTTCCCTTCTTCCATCACCGACTTGAATTTCCTGACTGCAGACTCTTTTCTGTTTTCTAAAAAAGTAAATTATACTTGTCAACTATAAAACAACCAGTGAGTGTGAATTTATTTAATTAATTTGAGTATAATTACTGAAGGTTAAAGGTCAGCCCACTTTACCTGGATCCCACCGGCCCACTTTATCTAACACATTCAGCCAAAGAGGGCAAGCAATATTTAAACACCTTACAAGAAAACTAAAAAATTGTAAACATTTTATTCCCCTTGTTAACTGTGGAAACAAAAACAGCAGGAACAGTCCCAATAATATTTGTTTCAAAATAAATTTAATTACAAAATAAATGTAATTGTAATCAGTTACAGTTACTGAGAAAAGTAGTTACATGTAATTCAAAATTCAGGAGTTACATCTGAATTTTTTCCCCACACACCCCCACATACAGATTTAATTGTCTTCTTTCATAAATTGCAGTGACTGCTCTAAAATATGAGACACCAATGTTAAGGAGTTTAGTACACAGAATAGGACACGTGCTCATTTGATAACTGTTTTATTTCCAATTTTTTTTTGTTTTTTTCAAGGCATTGTTAGATTCCAGTGTTTCCTGTCATAATTATGCAAAGATTTGATTTCAAAAACAGTATCCTAGCTATTAAACTATTTCTTATTATGATTTTATATCTGTATTTAACAATCGCAAGGTGAAAAGAGGTGTTAAAATCTGATTTTGTGGCTGTGCTTTAAAATTAAATTATTATAATGTTAATTCAAGTGATGAAGGATTTCATAATTCTGACAGTAATCAGTGTTGTGTACTACTGTAAAGTTAACCCTGCCTAGTTTACATATTTGAAAATGATTAACAGTTGAAAACTTTAGAAATGTAGAAAGTAATCAAAAAGTAATCAAATCTATTCAGTTACATTACTTTAATAAAGTAATTGAAGTAGTTACACTACTTATTACATTTTAGATATGGTAACTTGTCATCGGTAACCTATTACATTTCCATAGTAACCTTCCCAAAACTGGCTATCCTAAAACATCCTAAAACATAATATATACATAAAATAGCCTATATATATCCTATTATGTCATTTTTATGCTTTGAAAAAAAATGGTGTAGAAACAATTTTCACTCAGAAATTGCTAGTAAATTTCACAAATAATTACAAAGAATCCGTCTTCTGTGGTTCTTGTGGTGACTGTTATTTTTTTTTAATTCATTGGCTGTATTCAAATATGATCATTTGATGTGACTGAATCAACCTGAATACGTTGAACCAGTGAAGGTGATTTTAAAGGTCAGAAAGCCAAAATGAATAAAACAATTTTTATTTATTATTTTTTTATTAATTATTTATTAAGTAGACATGACATTCTCCAGTAGTTTGTGTACTGTTGGACTACATATGGATAAATCTCTTACTTTTTACACCTCAGAGGGACATACAGTCCTCACACGTTTTGCCGTTTAGCAGAAGCTTTTCTATCCAATGCGACTTCCCTTACTATGGCAACAGTCCCTCTGGAGCAACCTGGGGTTAAGTGTTTGACTCAAGGGCACATTGGTGGTAGGGGTTTTGTTTGTAGTTTTTTTCCTACTTAAAGCAACATGTCTTAAGGTCGTTTTGGGGGCTTTTCTGGAGGAGCAGCAAGTCATAGAGCAACAAAATCACAACATAAGGTGTTTCCAATTGTATCCACAAGGGACAAAATCAATAAACAGCAGACACAAAGAAAGAAAATCAGATCAATTATGGTGGCAGCTGATAAAAGGATAGACTGATTTATGATGAGCCCCAACCTTATGTGAGACCTGCTCTTTCTCAACTATGACATGTTAAACAACATTCACGGTAAAAGATTTAGGATCTGTTGCCTTCAAAAACAAAAACATATTTCAGTTAGTTTTTGACAGCACTGAATTTTTAACATTATTGGCTTACATTCTTGCCATCTCGTGACTGTGACACATTTTATCATCACACACAGCCCTGCAGCAAGAATTAATCCTTGACTATGTACAGTCATATAGCCATATATCCAAAGGCTTATGTGAATTTTCCAGATGGATAGGGAAATGTACTCCAATCGTGTTGACTGCATTTTGATCATTTATCAGGATTATTCACTCACTATGAAATCAAAAGCAAAGCTAGAGAGACTTCTGGACTGGACTTTGGACAGTTCATTTTAATAAAACAAATAATAATTATCAGTGTTCATTTATATATATATATATATATATATATATATATGGGTGTGTGTAATTTACATTTTAGAACAAAGTGTACAATTTACCACAAACCTTGTTTTGCTCATATAATTCAAATATTCCATTATAAAACCCCATAGGAAAACGTCTTTGGGGTTTTAACGTCACAGCTGCAGCACTCTATAATAATGTACAACAAAAAAGTTTCAAGCATGAGAAGGTTATATTCATAAAAACTTTGTTTCTGAAACTACGCAATATTGACAGGAATAATCTCTCACTGTGTTCATCTATATGTTTTCCTGTCAATGGATTGCTAACAAATAACCACACTGATCATTTAGTGAAAATATGATTTTGAAACTGTAACATAATCATTATATTTTTTATGTATAATAAATGTCATCATCACACACAGCCCTGTGGCAAGACTTAGTCCCTGGCTATGTGTAGTCATATATCGAACGCTTATGGGAATTTTCCAGATGGATGGGGAAATGTACTCCAATCATGCTGACTGCATTTTGATCATTTATCAAGATTATTCACCCACTATGAAATTAAAGTAAAGCAACAGATAGTCAGCATTTGACAAAGACTTCTGGACTCTTCATTCTAAGAAAAAGGATAGTAAAAAAGAAAAAAATTCCTTCATAAAAATTGGGAAAAAGAAATACCCTTCAACTGTAACATGCACTTTGTTCTACAGGGCTTGCCAGAGAATTAGCAGTTAAGACTATAAATATAAAGTCCCAATGGTTCAGACTATCACACCAGATGTTCAGTTAAAGCGGTGCTCTCCAAAAACCCATCTGCATGTTCACACATTTGCTAAATATAGCTAAGTGTTCAGTTTATTTCAGAACAATCACACTCCTCGAATGTGTCGATGAACCTAACTGATATGAAAATATGTCCTGCTGCAACAAAAGCAATTATACAGTACACACAACAACCCACTTTTTTTAATGTAAAGATATCCTACCAAACAAATACTCACTCACTCCCTGAATACTATACATTTAGTAATACTTAAAAAAAACTGTTCTCAAATGACCAAATGACTGCATCATGTCTGGTTCAGTCAGGAGATTGGATCATCAGATTATACAGGCCATGAAAGATTCTCTTTGGAGGTCTGCTTTCATGTACTGTAGCACAGATGTTCAGCGTTCCAGACCACAGGAACCACCCCTGGTGTTTCCAGAACAGCACTTCCTTTTCGGTCTTTCTCCAGTGGATGTTGGCACAAATGGTTCTCCAGATCCCCCATCACCCCACCCACCCTTGCTCCATCTGCAGCAGCACTCTCTCTG